GTTTCCCTATCTAGGTAATACTAAGTATTTTTTGCGTGGGCTCGTCCCTTATGAGCTGTACGCTGTGAGCCAGAAGGATCGCGCTAAAATCTGATGGGAAATGAAAACATTGCTTCGTGTTTTGGTACCATGTCTGCCTGCCAGGAGACAACGAAAACACTTTCAAGAATGAAAAAGCTGCAATTCCGCAATAATCGCGAAATTTGGGATCGGGTAATGAACTCTCAGCAGAAAGTTGAGACAAGACTTCCATTGCCAACATGAGCCGTAAGACTTTCGGCCTCGACGCCTCGGATTTACCACAGGACCCATACTATCCCCAAACAGACCCAACAGGCCCTAGTTTCCTTGATACAGAAGGATGTCTCTGTGCTTTACAGGTGACACCTGCCGGCGGAGCCCCAGAGCCAGCTTGGCAATGCATCGGAGACCAAAGCAAGGGAAGCATCTACACAATCAGAACCGGCAGATGGTTCAACACACTCAATGGGACCGGAAATGCCAATGGGCCCATTTATGATGCTTCAAGTCCGCCGGATATCGAAAAGCCCAAAAGATGGCTCTCTGGAGCGTTGCGAGACTCGCCGGGCAACGACGGGCTCAGTGTGTACGACAGCGCTTGCACTGGCAAGAATAACACCAGATTCTCGACCTCGTTCTACGAAGCAACGGCACAGATCATTGCAGGCCAGCAGCCATATAGTGCTGCGCCGTGTTACAGACAAGGGGCGGTTCCGATAGAGATTCAGACTGTGGACAGTTGGCAGGCTACTGGGTGCAGCCCGGGTTTTCTATGTGAGTATGAGTCTCAAAAACACCTTGCAAGTGTGCGTTTGAAGGATAAGTGTTTGCTAACTCAGGTCTAGGTGAGAACAATACCGTCAACTCAATACCTCAGTACTGTCCACCGCTGGACGCATGTCAAATGGCAAGATTGGCATCGATCACCTGCAACTTTGGCGGCAAGAACGCTGGCATGGGCCCTTTTGAGCCGGTTGTTTGTCAAGCTGGAAACTACTGCCCAGAAGAGAATAACGGCAAGGTTTCTATCGTCTGTCCTGCTGGCTCATATTGCCAGCCTGGAGCCGCAACCCCAACACCATGTTCGGTTGGCAGCCGTTGCCCGGCAGGTTCTTCCTACGAGCTGTTTCTCATCCCTCTCGCCATCTTGATCATTATCGATGTTCTGATGATCGCCGGCATGGTTATTTACCAATTCCGAAAGCGCCTTCGCGATCATCAATCAAATAAGAGCCGGAGACCAACGTTGAAGCGTGGCATGAGCAGCATGAAAGCTCAGATCACGGGCTACAGGGCACTTTCGGAAGATACAGACCGCGAGATGCTCCCAATGAGCGCTACCTATATTCCCAGCCGGACCGACGCCTATGGAGGAGGATTTCAAGCCGCCCTCAACCTCGATTCCGAAGACTCAGTCAATGTACGGCCAACGAGCGAGATGCTCAATCCTCAGCTGATGGCGTTTGTCTCCTCGATGAGGCGTGCGACTGATGCAACTAATCTTGGTCTCTCCTTCAGCTACTCTGACCTCAGTTTCCACCCTAAGAAGAGCTCCAAGATGATTCTTCAAAACGTTACGGGATCCATCGACCGGGGCACTTTGACGGCTGTCATGGGCGGATCCGGTGCCGGTAAGTCAACGTTTGTCAACGTACTCATGGGTAAGACCAAGAACACCGGAGGCACAGTAGCTGTGAACAGCAGTCCAGACAAGTTGAAGCGGTACAAGAAGGTGATTGGTTATGTACCTCAAGACGACATCGTGCTGCCGGAGCTCACGGTATACGAAAACATTGTCCATAGCGCAAAGATCCGCTTGCCTCAGACTTGGTCAACGGCTGACATTGAGTCTCATGTCGATTCTGTCATTGACTGCTTGGAACTCTCCCACGTACGCAACTCCTTAGTCGGTTCAGTCGCTGTACCTGTCATTAGTGGTGGGCAACGCAAACGTGTCAGTATCGGTATGGAACTAGCTTCTGCACCAATGGCGATCTTCCTGGACGAGCCGACGAGTGGTCTCGATGCAACTGCAGCTTCATCTTTAATGCGGACTTTGAAGGCAGTTGCGCGGCTGGGAATCACCGTTATTGTCATCATCCATCAGCCACGTACCGAAATTTTTGAGAATTTCGATAACCTCATTCTCCTCGGCAATGGCCAGACTATCTACGAAGGTCCCCAAGCTGAAGTGCAGGACTATTTTGAGGGGCTCGGCTTCGGGTTCCCAAAGCACAGTAATCACGGCGATGTGGTCACCGATATTATTACTGGAAACGGTCGCGATTACAAGCAAATGGGGGAGATTTGCAAAGACTCGCTCATTTCAAAGTGGTCAGATCACCGCCAGTCTCTCGCGCCCAAGGAACGTCACGCTTCCTCCATCATGAGCAATAACGGCATCTACGCCGCCATCAAACATCGCGGTGCACCGTTGTACAGACAGGCATGGCTCTGCCTCCGCCGGGCCATGCTTCAGCAGTACCGCACCAAAGCAGCTTTTTGGGCTGAGATGGGTCTCGCGGCGCTCGCTGGATTTCTCCTGGGCCTTGCCGAGCACTCGAAAAAGGGCATCTTGTTTACTGGCACTTTCAAAGAGCCGTACTCGATCTTGTCAACTGCTGTAGACTTCAAGTCCGCCCCTGAACTTGCTCTATTGGTCTCCATTGCTGTGGGTCTAGTGTCTGGTGCACCTGGTGTGAAGACTTTCTCAGAAGAACTGCTCGTGCATCGGAGGGAGGCCGAAGCGGGACACAACAGACTAGCATATTTTCTTGCCAAGGTCGTCTCGGTCCTTCCCCGTATGCTCTTTGGATGTCTCCATTTCACAACATTCTTGTTCATTCTCACGGTACCGGTGATCAACTGGGGGCTTGCTTTCCTCACGAACTTCTTCTACTTTTACTGCATTTACGGGCTGGCCAGTATCGTCAGCATGCTTGTCCGGCGAGAAGATGCCCCCCTGTTTGCGACAATGATTAGTCTTATCGTTGCAATCTTGTCTGGTGCTGCTCCTCCACTAGCTAAAGTCAAGGAGTGGCATCTGGAATGGCTTTGGCGCGCTTCACCCGGTGTTTGGTTAGCAGAGATCTACTTTGGCCAGCTAGTCTCGCCTTTTGGGTACTTGTATGATGTCGAGTCTGCTGCAACGGCGACTGGCTTCCATTTGGATTGGTTATGGCGCAACATGGGAGTTTTGGTTGGTATTGGAACTATCTACAGAGTGGTTGCATTCCTTGCGATGATTTTCGGGCAAAGCCGGCGTAGATAGATTGGTACATAGACCTGTTCAATCCAAGAGTACGGAGACTGATGGTCTTGATTATCACTATCCGCCACATCTACTCCGACGTCTGTTTACATGCATGCATCCTGGATAGAATGTCAAGCTTAGAGATATGGCAGATGAGGTCATCATGGCCTGGACATGCGGAGTGATTGCTCTTGCGCAAAAGATGACGATTGTAGGATCTGCGAACGATAGGATGCAGATATAGCACATTGGTGTTTCTGCCTGTGCGAACCTTCAGTGTCGAACATATCTTCAGACAAGCTCAAGGGTAATCCTGATGACGATTTACGAAGGAGCCTGCTGATGTCTGCCAAGGGCTAGAAATTTTGAGGAGCATCATGCTAATCCGAAGCAAAGAACTGTGATATATCAATCGAGAGCGGCTCTGTCACGCAAAGAGAAACCGTGTGGGAGGTGAGAAAGTCCACAGAACGAGGGGCCATATGTTGGGAACAAGGGACAAGCGCGATTTGCCTGTGATTTTCTACCTGGGCAGAACTTTCTGTAGTGAATCTCCGCACTAATCTTGCTAGGCTGATGTCTGATGGAACATTGGGTGTGAACAACTTAGTGAAGATTAGGCCATTGGATGACTTTGGTGCGGGATGCCAGGCAAGGCCGCGACAGCCATATCAACTATCACGACGCTGTGTCTGCACTCAGGCAAGAAGAGATTTCCTCGACATGTATAACGCCCTGCTGACAGTGTGCAGTCAGATTTCAATAGAGGCCAAGGCAGATGACTGACCAGATGCTGTTGCGGGTACTCGCCTCTTTGGATTTTTCATCTCCCGCTGGCGAAATAGAACCGTGCCAAGGAGCGGTTCGATATTCCAGTCGCACTAAGAGAATGTCTAACAGGTACATGGTGGCAGCAGGCTTTCCAGTGTATCATCCCGGCGCTGTCTACGTGACGTATTGGAGCGAGACCGGTCTGCCAAGAGCCAACCTTCCGATATCTCTCTGAATCTATAACTTGCCCGCATGGAAACAAGTAGGTAGGCCAAAGAAATCGGCTGAAACTAAGTGGTCATGCCTTTCCCAGTTTCCAGAGAATGTTCGTTTATTTATTTATATTTTCTGCCTTTGCTAGCTGCTCGGGCGGTTCTCGATATCGATTACACAGTATTAATACATAGTATCAATAGATACTCCTACTATCTCGATAAACTATTTTTTTTTAGATTTTCCTTAACTTTCCCTCCTATAAAGTTCATAACCACGGATTATTAATAGTAATATTAAGTACTTAATACTACTACTTTATAAGCCTACTACGTAACTAGCTAAGTTAGCTACCTTTCTAAGTAATAGTAGCTTATAATAATATAGTATTAGAGATACCCTCGTCACTATTATTAAAAATAATATTAACTACGGTATTTACCTTAATACTTTTAACTTTAACTCGTACGTATATATATTCGTTACTTCGTTTCTTTTATTAAAATTAAAAATACTACTTCCCTTATTATCTACTACTATTATACTATTACTATCCAACTATATATGCCAAATATACTTTATTAAAATATTAAAACGTTAATAACTTAATAACCCTTAAAGCTTGTTTAATAATTAAAAGTTTAATTTTATAAGTATTATACTAAATAACCCCGAGCTATAAGAAGACTATTTTAATAAATACTATAAATATTTATAATATTAACTTATAAAAAATAAATAGGCTACAAGCTTATTGGAAGTAAGTCTTAGGTCCTTGATCCCACGACCGGGCCGTGTGCTGATAGACATTGACGTTTCTAGCCTTTTTAGAACACGCGCCAAAAGGCGAGCCATTCTTTGTCACACCTTCAGAGGAGCTTCTGAAGCAGATAGTCTTCAATCCTGATAAAGTCTCTCAGAAGGCTTGGTTGGTCTATTTCAACTACATCATGTTAGCTCAAGTTTTTCCAGAGAAACAAGACCATGGAGAAGAAGCTGCGAGATTTCGCCAGAACATGCGGATCGCCTTGAACGACAGCAGCATATTCTTGGAACCACGACAAGTTAATGTCCAAGCATTAGCTCTGCTGGCTGTTCATGGCGAGGACTACGCCTCTCCGAACTTGTCGTGGATGCTGGTCGGCCATGCTTGTCGCCAAGCAGAGGCTCTCGGCTTACATTTGCCAACGCCTAGAGATGTTGAATCATATCAGCGAAGTCTCTCGATGTTTTGGCTTCTTTTCGTATTGGATAAGTCGTGTGCCCTTGCATTTGGTCGATCCCCGTTCCTTCCGATGAAACTCTACCAAGAGGTTCCATTGCCTGATTTCAGCTATCTGCTCAAGTTCCAACCACATCTCGATTCGGATTTCAGCAGTGCACCACCGGCTGCTCGTCCGTCTGAGTTTGGAGCACACTTCTTCATCAGGGGTATTGAGTTAGCCAGGATCATGGGCTCAGTCGTCGATACGCTGGCCCCAGGTTCTTCGCCACCCTCGAGGGAGACTATCAAGCTGCAGCTCGAAGAATGGTCCAATCAAACGAAAAAGGTACGTCAATGAAAGGATGAAATTACATCCGCGTCGAATCATTTCCTTCCACTTACGCTGTGCAAATTACAGATTTCGGATAAAATAATGGACGCAGATAGGCACCTCCTTGAGCCGACTCAGTTGAAGGAAATGTCCTTGGGCCTCAATAGTCTGAGATTCCAGTACCTCCATGTCGTGATTGTTCTTCTCAAAGGGGACAAGCCTTCCTCCAATCAACGTTTAGAGTGCGCAAGAGAGGCTCTATTCATACTACCTTCAATTGTCTCTAATTGGTCTTCCGTTTATAACGGAGTTGTTTGGTAAGACTTTTTCAGCAGATCTCGAACCTACGTTCATGATCCCTTCTAACAAAGGCAACAGGCATCTATTGTACTATCCTTTCATACCATTCTTTGTCGTGTTCGAGAACCTAGTCCACAGCTCCACGTTCCAAGCCTCAGCGACAATCGACCATGACGTTGGTCTCCTTGCTACAACTATTTCCTGTTTTTCGAGCATGAGAGATCAGATGCAGCTTCTCGCGGTTTTATGCTCTCGTTTGGAGAATGTAGCGTTTGTGTTCCTCGAACTAGCTCGGAGACACATACGACATCGCCATGCAACCATTAACAAAACCCTTGATTCCTCATGGCCCCCACTACATAGTCGGGCTGAAACGAATGTCGAGGAAGTGGCAGCAGGAGATAGCCTCCCCGGCCTCTCACAAGGCACTCTTGATGACTTCACTTTGGGGGATGGGCTAGACATTGGAAATTTCCTCAACTGGCTGCCAGCTGACATTTTCACATCTGGGCCATCTCTGGGGCTTGAATCGCGACAGATTCTCGGATCTGCAAGCAGCGGCCCTGAAGTTTCATCCACAGCCGATTTGCGAGGTCGAAAAAGACCGTTTGATGCGACATTCGATTGGTTTTCGTGGGACGCATATTACGCCGACATGCATTTTCATTAGGTGATTAATCTTTTGTCAAATTTCCATGATCATCACACAGTTTATGAAGGGGCCTAGAATGACTCCTTCTACTTTAATTGAATCTTGTAGTTAGTCTCAACTAATATTGCGCTGTAGGAAACCGACCGTTCTCCTACTGAGATAGCCTGATAAATCTAAAAACACCCTCATGGCTCGAGTACACCCTTCTCCAACACAAAATCAGCCTTCGGCGGCGTGATATACTCAATCTCTCGAATTTGTTCAAAATGAACGCTTCCATACCGCAGCAACTCTGCAAAAGTTCCAGGTTCACGGTCCCTGTTCTCATTCTCTTTCATGTCCCACAAAGTCCCCAATGCGTTGGTCGCGGTCATGCCTGCGGCGTGGGTGACCTTCTGCATAGTCGAAGTAGTCAAGATCGTCCATACGACGTTATAAGCCTTCTTGTATTCTTCAGACTCTGGATCGGCATCCAATCGGACTGAGAAGAGGTCGAAGAGGTCCTCACCATTCCAACCGATGATGGCTTCTGCCGGCCAGTCTTCGTACAGCGAGTCGTGGAGAAGGATTTTCTTGTCGAAGTAATCGACGCCATCAAAGCCGCCGTTAGGCTCTTTGACCGCAGCAACTCTGATCCAGCACACGATTTGAGCAATGTACTCCAGTACCTTTGGGAGAGGAGCGCTCCAGTTCCATTTGAAGTTCCGAGCTTCGACTGCATCGGCGTTCATATTTTGTGCGAAGGAGACGAGAGGGTTTTCGAAAATGCCATCGGAGCTGTTGCGGCCCTTCCAAATCTCCATGAAAACATCGTGCCTTGATAGCGAATTAGCTCTCCCCCGCAAACAAAGCCGCAGTCGTGCCGTATTGTTGAGCTCCGATACTGATTCTGACTTACCAGTGTTTGATGAACATGTCACCTTTGCGACTTGCAATGAAATGGTTGGCTACGACGTTCGAGTACATCCAAGGGGCGGAAACCTGGTAAGGGCTGTTTGGGTCCTCAAGTTTCTTCCAGCAGAGATAGTCTATGGACCGAACGAGGATGGTGCCCACATCCACCCAAGCACCGCCATATTGGTAAAGACAAATACCGCGGAGGAAGTCTGCACTGTGGGGACCAGTCCGCACACGGGGCCCATCCATCTTGTGTGCAATATAGGCCTCGGGTAGTTGGTCTTCCTTGACCCAGTTTAAGGCATTGTTTGGAGAGTCTGGGACGTCGTCCAAAACGCGAATCGCCCATTCCGGACCGCAGAGTCGAGCCCAGTTAATGATGTTGCGCTGGCCCCAGCTTGGAAGGTTGTCGAGGCCAGAATCCCAAAAGGCCCAGATGTTCTTTTCTGAAGTGACTGGTAGAGGACTTTTTAAAGACTTAAAGATCTCCTGATCGGAGCGCGAGTCGAGAGGTTCGACATGGCGGAGTTTTGATTCGAACTCTGGCGGGATCTGGAATTTTGGTGAAGACATTGTGAAGTATGAGTAACAAAAGACATGGAGCTTTGAACGTCACAGTTCTTAGGCAATATTGAACGACTGATTCTGAGGCGTCTTAAATACTTCTACTCCCGTTGGTTTGGACTGCTACTGTGTTGCACGGAGCAAAAACCGCAACCTGTAGCGCTTACATTGACGAGAAGCCATTGATGGATCTCCACTGTCCATCACATTTGGCGTTCGACGGAAAATCAATGCACCAATGACGTTCTCGGTATCTGACTGTAGCGCTGACAAAGATGAGATGCAGGACGTAGCCAAGTCTGACTGACAGGAAACGTGGACATTTCTGCACAAAACAAATGGAGGTGAGAGCGAGTTTGTTTCCTGGATTGGTAGGATGACATAAGAGTCAATAATCGGTTGGTTGGCCCAGAACTCGGCCGACATTTGGGTTGTTTTGATTCGTGTATGGGTTGTGCGATGGCGGGTCTCACTGCACCTGTTTACGACGTAAGCAGCTGTCACGAGATATGGATGTGGTTAATGCTGCCCACATTGAGTGGGCCCGCTTATTGTGACAGCAGCATGTATGGGTAATCTCTGAGCACACATCCATCGAATCGCCGATTTGATAAGTGATGACAAGAAAGCATTCAATGTGATCCATTCTAGATAAATAAAGTCTCCAAATCCTCATATCACACCAATCTAAAGCCATCAAATGGCGGTGATCTCGACATTTCTGCGTCCCATTTCCTCAAGGTTTGTTTTTCACGGAGCCCATCGATGATGTGGTTTCTCTGTACGCTTGAGGCAATACTGAGTCCCATGTCTCAACCTTCATGATCTAGACGGATGTTGCAAACAATAAACTCGTAGAGATTTCACATTAGAAGATCACCTCCTGAGTCAGTGAATCTAGCGCTGAAGGACTTCTCACAATGCAGTGGGCCAATTGCCTTGTCCGTATCGATCCTTTTGGGCAGGTGAGATGCCGTCGTTGGGTAGCTCTCAAATTTTCGTACTCTGTTGACTCCAGATACCCAGCCCCAGTACGTCGGGGAAGCCGATCGATCACATTTTGGCGGTTCTCAACCGGGACGTTATGTAAATGTGCACACGAACTCCATGTCCCGATGGAATCGAGATCGCTTCATGTTGAGTGAGGTAGTTCACTTTTCATTGAAGCAAGTGCGACTGTTCAACTAATGGGGATGCAATAGACCTAGGCATTGAACGTGGGCCAGGCAAACAGGGCTGAGCGACCTTCAAGAGGAGATTTTTAGGGAAATAAAAATTAAGGTTCTGTTGGCATTTGGGTGGCTTCAGTCAAGCCATCCGTTCGTATGGCTTTTAGCTAAGGTGGGCTACTGGGACCACTGGCTCACTAGCTGGCTTCCTCACGCGTGCCCGAGAAGACATCAACCCCTGCTCGCCTTGTGTATGGACGGCGAAGTAGATTAGGGGATACCCCTATGGAACATCCCCATTCTCTTTTCTGGTGGAGCGACTGCTAGGCTCTCGGCTCGATCATTGCTTCGCTTCATCCCGGAATGAAAGTTAAAATCTCAATTTTCGAGAGGCGCATAGTATCGCCCAGATGTTACAGCGTTGCTCTTCATGAGGACAAATCTCACCACTTCCCGCTTTGCCAATGTAGCTGACGCCACTGTCATGATCGGAAACTAAACAGTGCCATAGCGTATTTTACCATAAGATCGTGTGCGACGCATCGCGCCTCACCAAGACATCGTGACTGCCTGAGGAGGAGACCCAAAACGGCGCTGCCGTTAGCAATTTCGGGCGCAGGGTCAAGGAATGGAAATCGTGCAGGTAGCCCGAGCTAAAATCGGCCCCATTTTCGCAGTGCCGCAGCTCCCAAAACAAATCTCGTAATGGCTTCTTTCAAGTCTCGGCGGTTAGCGGTGCGGCATGGAAATGACTTCATACAGAGATCTGCGAATGACGGTCTAGGAATGGTACGAGGGGCACAGTCGTACAGTCTTACACCCTGTCAGCCCAACAGGCCAGAGAATATCCACCACAGGCAGCGACATTCGCTAGGCCCGCCCGAGATCGGGAACTTTGGTGTGCTGGTTGTCGAGAATAGGTGGTAAAAACTGTAAAAGACGCAAAGAAGCCAGGGATCTACGAGATGATCCGGGGCTATGCCACTTGGGGACGCACCATCAGGCGCTTGTTGTCAGCCGAGATCCCTGGCAGTCAGGATTCTCCTTGCTTTAGGCCCCATGAAACAGGCAACACAGGGCAATTCCAGCCACTTAGAGTGTGTTTGGGGGAGCTGCTGGGCGTGTTGGACTATCTTAAGGTTACTTTGCAGGCCTGTAGAGTCTAATTAGGGCTGTGTCGCCAAGGACCAAGGCGACCAAAACAATAGGGGCTGTGGCGCGCCGGTCCAACGCAACTAAGACATTCCAACTGTAAGCGAGACGGAAGTGCGGCGCTGTTGGTCCAAGGGGTTTAATCCTTCGAGTGCCGTGGTCATCGTCAAATTTTACTTAAGGCGCAAGAGTCTCTCACGACATTTGGCAATGCGTTCTTGTTGTCATCGAATACCTTACGTCTAGAAACTGAAGACTGGTCTCGTGTTCACTTGACGATAATACACACAATCCTCCCGGCAATCGACCAGATACCTACAACACGTCAACTACGAACACCGCCAAAATGACTCAAGCATACATCATCGGCGATAGCTCGCCGTTCCTCAAGCGCGTCTTGATTCCCTTCTGGGTCATTCGAATCGCGATCATGGTTCTTGAGATCGTTCTCTACGCCGGAACTATCGCCCTCGCGGCCTCTAACAAGGAGACTCTGAACGACTACGGCGACGACAACAGAACAGCAAGCTGGGTCATTGGTGTCCTCTGTGTCATTATGGTTATCATTCTGATCTGCTTGATTCTCGACATCGTCTGCATCGTCAAGCGCTCCCGACGCACGCTCAGCCCGAAATTCTTCCTCGTCTCCAACGTCATCCAAACTCTGGTCTGGGTCATTTTGTTCATCCTCACCATCATCGGTGCTGGCGGCGCATTTACCTTCATTATCGCAATCGTCATTCTGTAAGCAGCTTCCAACGAACTGACTTTTTTTTCCATTGAATGACAAATTAACCTCGATTCTGCAGCGCTTCCTTCGTTGGTCTCCTCATTTATGCTAGCGTCATCTACCACAAGTTCCGCAAGGGCACACTGCCCCGCGGGAACTACGCTCCCGCCAACCCAAGCACTGGTTACACTGGAGGGTACGCCTCCAACGAACCCAACAAGACCTACGACCCGAACGCAGCTCGTTATGAGATGGACCAGAGATACGCATAAATCGTTGGTGGAAGGGTTTCGGTTAGCCTCGGCTAGTTTAGACACGGCATTTACGACTTGGTCATGTCCACAAGTCGATTGTATCAAAGAGGACTTGGTGGTGGTTCCTTCTGTTATAATGAGTAGAATGACTGTAACTCGGGCTAAGATACCAGGCGTAAAGAAATGAATTTTATTGGTTTTGCATACTACACCGGCCACAGGGTCATTGGCTCAACAAAGGCCAGCACACAGTTTCTTGCTCATACCTCCATCAATGAAGCTGTTAAAGTTGCGCAAATAGTCATAATTACGTTCTCGCAAGAGTGCAAAGCGCGATTTTATGGGAAACGGATCCGCCTTACATACCCGTTTCCCGCGAGCCTGAGCTTGATTCTGTATGCCCCAGGGCCTTCTTGAGCGATTCTGAAGTCACTGATGGGATGTTCGAACATGCTCGGTGCGCCTCCTCTGCTGGAACTTTTATAGTTCCGAGCCTGAACGGCTCCGAAGGTGGACCCGGCGACACAGATCCACTGCGGACTTTTCGGGCCCCGGAACTCTCCCGGCATTCGCCCGACATCAACTAGTACTTCAATCCACATGAGTCTGTTCTTAGATTGAAATGATTCAATCATTTGATCTAGAAGCTAGGTGGCAAAGGCTGGTCACGAGTCTGCAGCCACTCCTGACAAGATTCTCTCCAATTCATCTGGATCCTTGGGTACATCTGTTAAGTTCATGCTGCCAGACTCCGTGACTAAAAGGTCATCTTCGATACTAGGAGGCAGTTTCAACATCGCGAGGTTCTATTGGGACTTGTTGAGAACTCACCTTACGCCCCCAACATCCCAATATCGGTTCAATACCTTTTCATCAATGAACTTTGAGAGTCTGTTATCACGGAGAAGAGGCCGAATCACATGTTCGTTAAACTGTATCTAGTTGTGTTAGCTTCAGAGAAAGGAAACTTCGTAGTTCTGTGAGAAATCGGGAGGTGGGAATGGAACTCACGCTTGGTTCCACCGTGACAATGCATCCCGCAGGTAGAAGTCTTCTGACTCTCAAGTACTTGAACATGGGATCGAGATTGTCATCAGTCATGTCGCATTGACCTCCGGTATCATGTGTATCCATGCCCAGAAAATGGCCAAGTCCGTGGGGCATGAAAGCAGTGCTGATTCTTTCTCTCAGGATCTCATCCTTGTCCCCTTTCAAGATCCCAAGGGCTAGGAGACCATCAATCGCAACTTTGTGTGCCAATACATGCAGATCATCCCGCAACACCCCTTCCTTCAATTCTGCAATGCATTGTTGTTGCATATCCAGCACGATATCATAGATCGCGCGTGATTCGCGGGTAAATCTGCCAGAGATAGGAAGAGTTCGAGTCTGTTTTGTGTTAGTCGGATTCAGGAGAAAGGTAAGGAAGACAAGCTCACAATGTCGGCGCCATAGCAGTTCCACTCAGCTCCAGCGTCCACTACGACCACATCATTAGGCTTGCCACTTTGATAGAGGTTTTGATTGTTGCTCTCGTAGTGCATCGTTGCCGCTGTGCGCCCGCTTGCGACAATGCTCGGATAGGCTTGAACCTTTCCTCCCTGTTTCGTGCATTCTCTCAGAAACACCCCATCAATCTCTGATTCGGTTCTGCATTCCTTGAGGGACTTGATCACCGCTCGATGTGCAATAGAACTGATGATGTTCGCCTCGTGCATTAAAGCAATTTCGTAATCGTCTTTGATCGCTCGGCACTCGTCAATTGCTTCTTTGAGTAGGCTCGAGTCCACTACCGTTTCCGTAGGAAAGTTATCACCAGGCCTCTGGTGGTCGCCGATGGGTGAACATTACAGCCCCGTGCTGGCATGCTTGGCTTCCGATGAAGCCTATTGATGATTGGAGTTCTGTGTTGGACAACACAGAGTCAGCATCGTACTTGCCAAGGATTTCCTCGTTCGATAGGGGCCATCCAGACCAGATGATCTCTTCGGGGTCGATGTGTGGGACAAAGAGCGTCAAATGAGCCTTTCTGATGTCGTAGATCAGATGGCAGTTGGGAGTGGTAATACCAGTCAAGTACATGAAGGGCCTCAGCTGTCGGTACGGAATCGCTAGGTCTGTATCATCGTAGAATTCCTCTCGGGCCCCCGTAAGAAAAAGAAAACCGTTTGTGTAAGGCATCTTAGCATGGATGTACTGAGCTACGCGTAACGCGTGTGCCTTGGCGGGATACTTCCCTATCAGGCCGTTGAGGGCCCCCTCCGCATGCATAATGGCGTTATTGTGAAGTATAATAAAGAAAACTGAGAGCGTTTCACCAGAGAAACGAGTGCACTTAGGATGATGAGAGCTGAGAAACCCCGCCTACTTTATACTTACCCTAATACTCTCGGTTTTCAGAAGCAGATATTACTTTGATTAAGACTACTGGCCAAAATCCAGCCTTGGTCTCGGCTTCGGGCCGAAGCCTTGTTCTTCCTTCGTAGGTATTAATAGGAGTTTGGGGTGATTGACACACTAGCCGAAGCCGATACATTCATTTGCTGCCAGTGACCGAAGCCGAGGATGAGCGCCGCTTTGCGACCATAGCTGCTGACAAAGGCGTCTGGAACCATGCAAGAAAATTCAATCGCTCAGTCAATCAACCAGTAATGTCGTCTTACCTAGGAGGAGTCGCTTCGGTCGATCAATCGACCAAACGTCTGTTACTGCGTATACGCTCACATTCGCTCGAATCTATTGCCTGCTTGAACCATGGTCCCCGTTGATTTTTCCTCACCGTCTTGTCGCAACACCCGTCAGCCGCCGTGTGCCCCTTGTCGCAGCCGGAAGCTTGCTTGCGACCGCTCACAGCCAATATGCAATCGCTGTCAGAGAGCACGAACTAGGCTCAACTGCATATACCCGTCAAAACCGCAACTGGAGACACATACGCCGGATTTAGCTGCCGACCTCGGTATTGAGACCGGTCCCAGCCTCGGACAGGAAGCAGTAGCAAATACCACGTCAAATTCTACTCCTTCGGGCTATTTCGGCTACACAAGTCATAATAAAGTTTTGAAGAGACTGAGTTTGACCTTTTCCTAGCCAGTGGAGGCACTTCGCTTTTGGACCCCAACAAAAGGCTCGCACAAAGTCACGAAGAAAATCACGATAGAGTCATCTTTCGTGAGCTCCCGTCACCTTGCCAAGAATCGGCTCTATTTGTGCTACGTTGTTTGCCTAGCTTGCAGGCGTACTCTCATGAACCCTTCCATGAGCAGAAGGGATGGAGCCATATTGCTGTTAATCGGATCATCAAATCACTCCAAGCTGCATTTGAAACGTCGCCGGACGAGGGCAACAAATGCTTTAGCGACTTGGCCGAGATCCTCTGTAGGAATACCCGACGAGCTGTTGAGGATGAGCAGGATGACGCTTCTCAATGGATCAGTCAGTTTCATGACCAAAACCTCCGTTGGGAATCCATAGGACTGCTGTGGGCCAGTATCGCACGTGTTTCGGATGATATTGGTTCTTTGTATCGTCATCATTTGAACGCTTTCTCGGAGAGCGCATCTCCTCGAACAGCTCAAGCCTGTCTAGGCTATTGCATTGAGCTTTCACGTACCTTTACTGATGGCAACGATCTGTTATTGGAGCTTTGCCAGCGCAAAGCAATCTTTGATTCCATTGTTGATGGTGATGCCCGTAATTACTACGACCCTTCAAAAATCCTTTAGTGTCGGTGCTAATTGCTCATAGGCATCTCGAGCTATGTATCTCATAGTCTGTCTGTCACTATGCTCACGTATCTTGGATACCATAGTCTAGAAAATGGGCCCTCTTACGAACCAACGCTTTGCTCCGAGAATCGGCGACGAATCGTGGCTCAGGTTTTTACTAGTGATAAATTTGCTGTCTCTTTCACTGGCCGGCCGCCTCTCTTGACAAATAGCTTCTGCTCTGCTCCAATGCCTCTCGACATTAGCGACGAAGATCTTGCATCAGACAAGTCTACTTTGGCCCATGCAATTCAATCTCTTGACGACCAGGGCTGGAACATGAGTGGGAAAATACATCCTTCGACTATCATTCGGGCACGATACATGATTGCTAGCATCCGAGACGAACTCATTGCTGCCGCGTTATCTCACAATAAGCAGGTAGAGCACGATCAAATTCAGTTCGTAAATCTTCCATCTTGTTATTAACTGAGGTGGACTAACATCTGGGGACAGAGCCTTGAAGAATCGACAACTCGTATTCCCTTCCAAGATTCCGGAAGCCTTGAGATTTAGTCTAAACGATCTCAATGATTCTGATCTTGACAGTCGGACTCTGTATTTCAGGATTACACTCCAACTCGATCATCTGAAAAACCTCTTCTTTGCAGAAAGGTTACTTCTCCGCTGCAGCAATTTTGACGACACTGAGCTGCTCTCAACAAGTTTCGATCTTGTGAGGTTGACTATCGAACTCTGGAAGCACCGAGACTCTCTTAACGATCCTGTCATTCTACGTGACTTTGAATGGCTGGTAAGAAGCCCCTTAACTTATTATATGTACTTACTGAACTGGAATTTAGCTGTTAGAGTATGGTGCCCCTGCTGGTGGTATCCTATGTCAAGGATTGCTTCAGCCGAGCCCTACGTATTCCAACACCCAAAACATTGAAATGACAAGATCCTCTATTGTGCAACAGCTCAGTCTGCTAATAGGGTTCCTCGATTGGGTTCCTCCTTCTGCACCTGCTGGACAGTCATGCGCCAGCTTCAAGCACCTCATCCAGTGTGTCTTGGACCACCATCTGAATGACAACGATTGGAAACAAGACGCAAGAAGTCCGAGTATCTTGGAATCGAGACCACTGCAGTTACCTGCTTTTCGCTTTGCCTTATTGAACACTTTCGACTGGTTCATCCCAAGTCCATTAGGATCAGATAACAGGTAACAAAAGTTATCAAATACTATGTAAGAATCGTTAGCTGATTAGCCAACAAATTCTCACTACTTCGATAAGTACCCTGGTGCTGTTTACAGAATGCTGCCTTTCTGCTGAAAGCTCTTGCAATTACGTGAATTTGACCGCCAATCACGTTGGGTAGGGAACCCATGTTGTTTCAATTTTGAACAACGCGGAAGGTTCGTATCCTTAATTTGATATAGCGCCACCTGGAGATGGGCAAGGCACGGTACTTGAGATTCGAACAGGTCAATCTCAAATGCTTCAGAATAGTTACAATACTCCATACTGCCTGACGACTAACGGATGGCAGAGAAATCGGGATTCACGCGACAGCTAGCAGTTCACTATGATAAACAGCCTTCTGTTTGGAGCTGGACTCATGTTCTCGAAGAAAACTGAAGCCTACGTTCAGAGCTTCGAGGCCATGAAACGGTAGTAGGCCAAGCAATTCCAGTCGGCAGAGTATTGGCCGCCAGATAATGCAATCCACTCCTCACCTACATCCAATATATGTTAGCATTTGTGTCTCGTCAGGTTCATCATAGGAACAGCCATACCCTTTCTCACAACCCTATCGAGATTGCCCTTGGACGATGTCGTAGTACCACCGTAATCGATACTTTGATGAAGGCAGATTTAGTACATATCATTGTATCTCTCTACCGAAATGTATCTTGGAGGAAATCTTACCGCTGCATTCTCTTGACTTCGTCCCAATCGTGTCTAGTCTGAGTCCATGTGTTGGGATTGTCTGCCAGACGCCTGACGTGGAGATAGCTGGCCTTGAACTTCTTCTGGAAGACAGCAGTCTTTCCAATGATCAGACCAGTATGTAGACAGCCTGTCTGATCAATGGTGTACTGCTGAGAGGGAGTCATGCCCTTTTGGCCAGGATACGCCTTGTTGCAGGACATGAAATAGTAGTATGTGTTGTGCCTCAGGGTGCCAACGACCTTCTCGGCCTCTATCCATGCCGCACTAGAGTCGCGGGATAAGATGCCGTCGGCGTCGAATGCGATGCTTTCCGTAGTAGCTAAGTCGCCTGGAGCGCGTACTACGAGGTCTGTGTCAAACTTCGGAAGAGCCAAACCGGAGGCGGCGACGCAGTAGGCGAGAAGTTGCAGAAACCTCATTGTGAATGTTTCCAAAGACACTTGGTATGCTGGAGATGGGATGGTGTTGTTTGACCATACAACAGAGAATTGAAGTTGCAAATGATTTATACGTGAGACATTTTGAGCTGGTAGTCTCTCATTCTGCGCAATACCAAAGCTCATGAGATCGAAAGTCCTCATCCTCGGCCATCCCGTAGCCAAGATGTTCATCCCTTTGGTGGTTTTAGACGTCAAAAACCTAGATAAATTCCACCGAAGAGATGCTGTCTAAATAGAAGGCAATTTCCGGATTCGAGAAAGACCCTTCGACAATCAATTCTCACAATGGCCAACACAAATTGATGAAGTAGTTCTAATAAGTGCTATATTTCTGTTTGAAGCGAGAGATCCCACGAGATGGAGCCACCGGCATTATATTGACGGCATTCTTGGCAACACTTAATAAGGATTCATGTCACTGAATGACTCGAGTCACAACACAACGAAAGAACAGAGTCGCCGTCCAAGAGCCTCCTGGACGATTCCGTAAGTCAAAGCGTCAACCCGAAAGTCCCGGGTACTTCGGGCGTATGGGATGCCACAGAGCAATCTGTTCCCGGCGGGATTTAAGGGACAGAACAAGGATCAAACCAACGAGAAATTCGCCGAGAATGCAGGCACCTTCACAACGTTGGATTCCGACATTGATTGCACCTTAACTATTGCCAGTCAGCTCGGCATCTTTACGTTACCTAAGCGGCACGAACACCTCTCTTTCCTAAGTTCTAGAGTGGAAGCTCCACTCATGGAGAGAACATTATTCGCGAGACCGACGGTACTCCTTCCCAATCCTAGAATTCCTAAGTTGCCTCAATCAGGCCGAGCAGACTCTTAACCAGAAAATAGTGTGGACCCCAGAGAATAGTTTTGCCTAGGCATTGAAGTACGAAAGTGAATGGTGATGTTCGACACCGAACGGCCAAGGCACGTACGGCTTTTAGTTATGCACGTATATGTAGCTGACTTGTACCATTGGATTATTATTAGACTATTTTTCTTACGTTGTTTCTAGAAGAAAATCTCTCGCAGCCTAGTATGTTCATCAAATCACACTACTATTGAGGGGTATCCATGGTAAGGTAGGCCCCAGCGGCATCCTGCTTGATGCTCACACGGCAAACCCTGGAGTGGGATCATACGACTTCGGTACGCAGTACATGGGCGTGTCTCTAGATTGACTTCTTTATTCCAACGGAAGACAAAAATCTCCGGGATTATCGCCAGGAACAGCATGACTCTTTTGGTCATACCTTGGCTCCTCTATTAGCCTTTTCCTCGGGTTCACCACTAAACATCCTGAGTCGGTCGGGATGGATGCGAGAAAGGTAAGCGGACTTTGACCGTTAAATCACGAATCAGGGTTCATCTTGCATGTTTAGGAAAATTAATCGTTATGACTAAGAATTTCATCTACCTCTCTGTTGTCAAGAACGGGTAATGGTATTGTGTTCGACCGCTTCATCACTTGAGTATGATTTGGGACCAGGTATGTTGCTTGGTAAACGCAAACATTAATAGAACCAAGACCATAAGTAAATGAAACCGAGGGACTGCCAAGGTAGCCTCCATTGACTTGGTTCTCGGTGTCGCCTAGGAAGCTTTCGGCGTATGCCGCGATCCCAGCTGTACATTCGTAGCCGCAATGGATATCAAGCGAAATCTTGGATACAGTAGATAATGAGGCTCAGTAGGTCACGCCGTACTTTGATATAGTTCAGATATTTATCATCATTCTCTCATCTAATCTACTCAATTATGCTTTACGGTCTTCTCCGTTGGAGGGATGGTTCTCATCGACCAAACATTGTCATCTCTGGCTCGTTGATTTGGCAGAATGACACGACTTCGGAAGAACGTTCTTTACTACCTGTCAGTCTCTTTACAAGATCGCCATGGATGAACCAGTCGACTATAAGACTCTTTAAATCTTTGCACTTCGATCTTTCTAAATAACAGCAAAGGGTATCAGACATCACATCTTCTGCGGTGCATTCTCAGGTTTTCTTTATAAAATCGTCTCAAGATGTCACTTCGAGCATCTCTCCTATCCCTTCTCGTATCTTCGTTGGACCTTGCTAGCGCAGAAACTTCACATACACACTGGAAGCGCGATGGCGACGTTGCGGTAAACGACAAATGGGCGAATCACGACAAAGTCGTCCCCCTTGCAGAAGCCCCTGGCTATGATCTCGATGGAGAGGTCCAGATGACCTTCAAGCCCCTAATCCAATTATGGCACGGATGTGTCCCGTACGCAGCGGTCGACGCTGATGGTGCTGCTGGGTAAGTGAGAATAACCCTTAGGACTTGTGAGATCCAGCTCTTAAGAGCCAAGCGACATAGATCGAAGATACTGACAAAGCTCAAATGCTAGTGCTGGTTTGAAGCCAACAGGTAAAGCCGGCGGCGACTGCCGCGACTTTGGCCAAACTGGTCAGACTTACACGCGAATCGGAAAATCCCATGACCGGACGGGCATCATCTACAGCTACTACCTACCCAAAGTGCAGGGTAACGACGAGCAGCATAAGCATCACTGGATCACAGCCGTCGTTTGGCTCACCGTCGATAAGTGTCCCGACGATATCGCAAACTTTTCGCCTCGCGGCGTCGCGTACTCTACGAACCCACAAGGCGCATTCGATACCACACACAACACCAACACCCTGTTCGTCAGCTGGGAGAACTCAGCGACAGCAACACGCCCTATTCTAGCATACGATGCCGGAGTTCCTCTTATCCCTTCTGCAAATGGTCCCGAAGGAGCCTTGAGCCCCCCTCTGGTCGCCTGGGATCGCCTCCCAGCTGCAGCGAAAGAGCAGCTGAATGGCATCCGATATGAGCACACCAGAGTTCCTTTCAGCGACGCCAACTTCCAAGGGACTCTCGACTCGGCTTACAGCGATACCTTCTTCACTGGCGTTGGTCCAGATGGTACGGATTGTGGCGATGATACGCCGTCGCAGGACGAGATTGATCCTGATTTCGGAGACCCAATTGCATCCTCCACTGCGATGCCCGAGCCTGAAGCCACTGGTCTTTAAAAAATGGGTCCAGTCATGGCATGAGGAGATGAAGACAGTCCAAGGCGTAAGCTATCGCCTATTGGTCTAGGACTTCGAGATAGCAGATGCATTTACCTAAGTACCCAATACTAAGTAACGGAGTTCCCAACTTTTAATTGTCATTCATCGCCTCTTGGAAGTGTCCGTGCCAGTATGGATCCACGGCCCGGATTTGCGGATGGAGCTTGCGGATATGGACGCTGGGTGGAATTCGCATGTGTGATGTTAATACTTGTGGCAATTGACCATGCAAGAATAATACATGGAAACCAAAGATTGGCAAGATTTCGATGACATATATCAATAGGGAAAGTCGAGAAATACTCAAGGTCTTCTGTCTTCGGGTGGCTTGTTCAATTGCAAGGTCGAATAACGGCGGCCACATCTCTCAAGAGTCCCTCATTAAATGCAAGGTATGATGGACCCTGTCGGGGCTCAGTGGGGACCCCATCTTTGGGACCGTTCATCTGATCGCCCGCTGTCGGGGGAGCTGTGACCGACATGGTTCCCCTCCACGAATCATTGTCATCTCATCCCGCCGCAAGGATGTCCCTTTTGTGATTTCCGACGGCACTGCATCTGTAGAATCATTGGAGCTATCAGCACATGATCGTGAAGCGGGGTTGAAGATGGTCGACGTTCAGTGTATTAATGATGTTTTACGTTCGGTGGTTAAGTGAAAAGTGAGATCGTGAGCAATCTCATACACCACCCGAATATCATTAATGGCTTCCCAATTCGAGTTTGACGAGTCCATCAAGGGCGCTCTGCCCGCCGACTTCACCTGGGGCTTTGCCACGGCCGCTGCTCAAGTTGAGGGTGCCTGGAACAAGGATGGCAAGGGCGAGTCTATCTGGGACAAATTTGCGCATACTCCAGGAAAGGTGAAAGATGGAAGCACAGGCGACGATGCTGTGCGCTCCTACGACCTCTACAAGACAGACGTCACACTCATGAAGAGATACGGCGTCAGCGGCTATCGCTTCTCTCTCTCATGGTCGCGCATTATTCCACTCGGCGGCAAAGACGACCCCGTCAACGAAGACGGCATCGCATACTACAACCGCCTGATTGATGAGTTACTCGCCAACGGTATCACCCCGTACGTTACGCTCTTCCATTGGGACACCCCGCAAGCCCTCGAGGATCGGTATGGTGGTATGTTGGACAAGGAAAAGTACACGCCCGACTTTGTTCGATACGCTCGCGTCTGCTTCGAGCGCTTTGGCGATCGAGTCAAAGACTGGATCACCTACAATGAGCCCGGTGTCTACACCCTCGCGGGCTACGCCGCCGGAGTGCACGCCCCAGCCCGTTCCAGCTTCCGCGAGCTGAATGAAGAGGGCGACTCTTCCACCGAGCCCTTCATCGTCGCGCATACCGAGCTCATCTCCCACGCCTACGTGGCCGACATGTACAAAAAGGAATTCAAGCCAAAACAAAAGGGCAAGATCATGATCACGTTGCACGGAAACTGGTCTGAGCCCTGGGACGCATCGGACCCGCTCGACGTCGAAGCCGCGCAGAGGGCCCAGGAATTCGAGATTGCGTGGTTCGCCGACCCATTGTATAAGACCGGCGACTACCCGGAATCCATGCGCGCGCAACTCGGCGACAGACTGCCACGGTTCACGCCCGAGGAGAGCAAGCTTGTGCTAGGTAGCTCCGAAGTCTACGGTATGAATTCGTACTCTGCGTTCTACGTCAAGCACCGCGACGGTCCGGCCGACATCAACGACCACAAGGGCAACATTGAGCAGTTTGACGAAAACAAGGAGGGTGTGCCGCGCGGGCCGATGAGCGATACCTACTGGTTACGCACGACGCCGTGGGGATGGGCAAAGTTGCTGCGATGGATCTGGAATCGGTACCATGTACCCATCTACATTACGGAAAACGGGACAACGGCGCAAG